ATTCACTGGGAGACAAAACATTAAAGGAGGGGGGGAAATCCTGGTCTAAGAAATGCATATTTTTTTTGTCTGGAGGACATAAGTCTCCAGAAACACAGAAAGAAATTTGCACGCGGCTCAGCCTGGTAGGGCTTAATCTCAGGCAATAATCGCTGCTGCTTGGGCTGGAGGAGAATAATTAACCAGACATTAAAATTGCAGTGGGCTGTCCCTGGGATCTAACGGGAACCTCAGGTGAGCAACAACTCAGGTGAGCAAAAACTCAGCTGAGCTCTGGGGGAGAGGAGCTTTCCCTGGAGGAGTTTTCTCCATCTGTGGCTGCCTCATCCCTGGAAGTGTCCAAGGCCAGCTTGGACAGGGCTTGGAGCAACCTGGGATAGTGGGAGGTGTCCCTGCCCACACAGGGGGTGGAACAAGATGAGCTTTGAGGTCCCAAACCATTCTGTGATGATTCCATGATTGCTCCTGATGGACCATCCAGGATGTGGAATTGGAGAGTGGTGGAGGGGTTTCTGTGGGTGTAAACTCTGCAGCTGCCAAGTCCATAGGAGAAATCCATAGGATAAACCCTCTCAATCCACTTGGAGTCCATGGAGCTCAGTGGTTTGTGTGCAGCCAAGCCTGGACACGAGTTCTGGGTGCTCGTGATGCTCCACCACAGCGCAGTGAAGATGCTCTTGACTGAGTGGAGTCTGGTCCTGAGATGTCAACCATGGATGAAGTCCATGAGATCCTTCTCAGGCTCTCTCAGGCCTGAAGAAGTGTTTGGAAACAGCAAAAGAGGGAACTTGCTGTAATATTTGACATTAAGGAAGCGAAGTATTGGTGTTGGCTCAGAAGACCCCCTTGGTGCACAGCTTGGGGGGCTTGTTTTAATTTGGTGCTGAATTTTAAACATAATTTCTTGTAGTTGAGACCAGCTCAGGGACCTGAGATGAAAGAAAATCCGATCACTAATGCACTATAAATCAGGGGCAAAAATCCACTGCAAACCCAGCAAATAAATCAGGAGGTGGTTTTGTTCCCAAGCGTCAATTCTAATTTCCTGAATTTTCATTCGAAAGGAGGGCAGAGGTTTTCTTCTTCCCTCTTAATTCCTCTTCATAATCAATTGTTTTGCTTTAATATTTGACATAAGTGATAAACTGTTGAAAGTAGGTAATTTAATTGTTGTGCTTTCAATATTCTCCATTTGAAGAGTGGCCTGTTCTGGCCCCATTGAACCCACGGACATGTCCATCCTTTCAACTGGGAAAACGGTCGTGCCCATGTCCCAGAGAGGATGGTGACAGGAATATCTGACTCCTTGGGCAGCAGAGGTGCAGGATCAGGTCCCCACAACACAAACACAGGAGAAGATTTTGGTCTGAGTTATTTTGGCCCCAATCCAGAGTAACCCGTTGCCTCCAGCGCCGTCCCTCGGGCTGGACGGATGCCCGGAGTAATGGAAAGCAGGGATGGGGGCCACCCCTCCCCTGAAAACACAGATTTAACTTTCACAACTGACTTCTCAGCACTAGGAAAAACAAATTAACAAGCCTCCAAAAGGATTTATTCTCCTGGAATGGAAAAATTGCAGATTGTTTTCCCTCTTTGTCCATTGAAACTAAAATCTCTCTGTTGTCGAGACACATTTTTTGGGGGGGTTGGATTTTTTTGAAGCCATTGCCTGTACAAGTTTTGAAGTCCATGGTTATATTACCTTGGATGATGCAGTATCTGTAAAAGAAGGGTCTTCTGCTGTACCGTGGTGACTGTTTGCCATTGACAGGAGATGGAGCAGCATGGAAGGTAACCTGCGCAGGGCCAGGGAGAGGAGGGGAGCTACAGAGTATGCTCAGCATAGAAAACCGGCCTTTCCCTTATCCTAATCCATAGTCCCATTCCCTGCCATCACTGCAGCTCTTCTAGGGAGCAGCAGAACCATCAGCTCAGGCTGCAGAGCCCCAGACAGGAGATGAGCCCCTCGCCCATCGGCCAGAGCAGCGACGACAGCGACTGCAAAGTGCTGGGGGATCAAATTCCAAAGGGTGGAAATCCCAGGAGGAGGGGGGTTTGGGATCTGGACAGAATGAAAATCAGCCTTGTGCTTGGTCCTGCTCTGCTCCTGGGGAGCTGAAAGCCTCAGGTTGGCCAAGGGTCTTTTATTTTCCCCTCCACAAAGACTTGACCCTTCGGTGGCTCTGAAGGGTCAGGTCTTGGTAACGACCCCTTGATGAAAGGGAGGAAGGAGCTGTGACCCAAAACCACATCACAGCCCAGTGGGATTTTGGGCTGACCTTGCTGGGCTGTGCCAACACAGAAAGCCTCCAGCACCCTCCTACATTATCCTGGCTGTGGGTTAAGCCTGGCAGAGCTGAAACCGCAGCACAGCCTTGAGCTGAGCCTTCTAAAACTTGTTCATCTGAAGCTCTTCACAAGGGCATGCAGTGATAGGACAAGGGGGAATGGCTTTAATGTGAAAGAGTGTGAATTTAGGTTGGATATTGGGAAGGAATTCCTGCCTGTGAGGGTGGGGAGGCCCTGGCACAGGGTGCCCAGAGAAGCTGTGGCTGCCCCAGCCCTGGAAGTGTCCAAGGCCAGGTTGGACGGGGCTTGGAGCAACCTGGGATAGTGAGAGGTGTCCCTGCCTATGGCAGGGAGTGAGACTGGATAGTCTTTAAAGTCCCTTCCAACCCAACCCATTCCATCTCTATGATGGACTCCTGAGATCTGGTGACCTCTCCTGGACACACGTGCCCAGAGCCCTCCTGGGCCAGCCCAGCATGTTCTGCTGCCAGCCCTGCTCAGCTGTGGTGCCTCCAGGGTGTCCTCTGAAGCTCAAGAGGATTTAAGCTGAGCTCAAAGCAGTTTTAACCAACAGTGGAGGGAGCCTGCTGAGAGCAGTTGGGTATTTTGTGGCTGCAGGGCGTGAAGAAGGGATCTGCTGGGAGAAGGTCACAGAGGCAGACCAGGATAGTCAGCTGCTCCCTGCAAGTCCATTTTTTTCCAAGTTTTCATACCTAGAAAGCAGGATTGCTTTGTTATCAGTTGTCTTGGCTCTTTTGCAGGCAGAAGCTGACTTAGTTCCAGCATTTCATCTACTTCTCTTCCCAAGATCAGGCTTGTAAATCAGTGCAGGACAACACCTGAAGCACAGGCTCAACTGACCCCACCTCCCTGGAAAGATGGTTTCCTGCATGGCACAAGACCTACTGGGTCAAAGAACAACATCCAGCAAAAAAAATACAATCTGGACATACATTTATCACATTGTCATCCCAAAAATATCCCTGGATAGAGCTGATTCCAGCCTGGGAGTCACTGGGATGCCCCTTTCCCCCACGGCAGTTGTTGCCAGCAAAGGCAAAAGACATGGTTAGAATGGATTCATGGAGAATTCATGGATAGAAGATGAACTGCTAATAAAAAACTCAGGGGGACGCCTTGGGAATGGGGAGTTTTTCTTGCCTTCAGTGCCTTTGCCCCCCGTTGTCCCCACACTTGCTCCCAGTGATAAATCCCAGGTGTTTTTGACAGGGGGGTGATTAAACTCAGTTACAAAAATCTCTTCTTCCCAAAACCTTCTGTTGGTGGTTCAAGGTCTCTCCTGTGCCACAAACAGGGCACTGTGGTGGGCAGCAGGCTCGGGGTGGGCAGGCAGGACCCGTGTTAGGGAGGGGGGGGAGGACTGGCAGTTCCCCTCTTGGAGCTGGACTTTGGGCTCCTGAGGGTCCCATCCCCTGATATCCCTGGGAAGAGGGGCAGTGGGATAAGCCATCTGGGGACTGGGTTGGAATTTAGTGGTGCCTTCCACCCACTGCCTCTCGTGCCAACTCAACCACCTTCAAGGGCACCCATCAAACTCCTCAGTGCAGGTTTGCAGCCCCTGCATGTTTGATCATCATCGTCTCACCTCCCTCAGCTGTGTCCTGGGCTGTGTCCAAAGCAGGGTGGGCAGCAGTGGGGGGGATTCTGCCCCTCTACCTCACTCTCCTGAGACCCCACCTGGAATACTTTGCAGAGTTCTGGTGCCCCCCAACAGAAGAAGGACATGGAACTGTTGGAGCAAGTCTGGAGGAGGCCACGGAGTTGCTGAGGGAACTGGAGCACATCCCCTGTGGAGACAGGATGGGAGAGCTGGGGCTGCTGAGCTGGAGAAGAAAAGGGTGTGTGGAGGCCTCACAGCACCTTCCAGGGTCTGAAGGGGCTGTAGGGAAGCTGGAGAGGGGCTGTTCATCAGGAACTGCAGTGACAGGACAAGGGGAATGGGTTCAAACTGAAAGAGGGGAAACTTGGGAAGAAATTGTTTCTTGTGAGGGTGGGGAGGCCCTGGCACAGGTTGCCCAGAGAAGCTGTGGCTGCCCCAGCCCTGGAAGTGTCCAAGGCCAGCTTGGACGGGGCTTGGAGCAACCTGGGCTGGTGGAAGGTGTCCCTGCCCACAGCAGGGGGTGGCACTGGATGGGCTTTGAGGTCCCTTCCAACCCAAGCCAGTCTGAGATTCTGTGACCTCCTTGCCCTGTGCCACAGAGCCACCTGAGGGATGAAGGTACCTGGAGCATCTGCCTCCAGCTGGGGCAGGGCAACACGTGCTTGGAGAGACAGAGGAGTGTCTGGAAGCCTCCTTGGTCCCCCTGTCCCCAAGGCCACCCCTTTGCAGACCCCGGGACCACTGCAGGCTCCCACCCTCACTCCTCACAGAGTCATGTCAGCTCATGTCCCTCTGTAGAACTGGGAACACACCCGAGTCCTTCCAGTGGCTCGTGGGTGAAGCGCTGGGACACAGCAGGACCTTGGAGCAGACCATGTCCTGCAGGCCCTCAGGGAGCAGGGCAGGCTGGGGGCTCGGCTGCTCTCCTACCGCGGTGCCCTTGGCTCTCCTCACCCTTCTGCGAGGAGACCAGAGGGACAAAGGGGTTGTCCCGTTGGTGTCCCGTTGGTGTCCCCTCATCCTGCAGGAGCTCCCACCGTGCCCGGGGCAGCCAAGGCTGTGCAGGGACCTTTCCCTCCGCGGTGGAGACCTTCAGCTGGCTCCTTCTGAAGGTTATAAACCTCCCCCTGGAGTCGATCTGCTCCTCGGTTCCTCGTGTCCGCGGGGAAGGAGCGGAGTGGGACCATCGCGGGGCTGCTGCTCTCGGCTCCGTGTCTCCATCGGCAGATTCCTGCTGCCACCCCGTGGCTTCGGCCGGGAAGGTTCGGCAAGCGACGTCCTGCCTTCCTCCTTCATCCCTCCATCCCTTTGCCTCCCAGCCATCCTCCTCCTGCCGGGCAGGACCTGGGGCCGTCCTGGCCCCACCACCGGAGCTCCGGGCTGTGGCTCTGCCTTCCCGGCTGCGAGGGGTCTGCGGCGGTGAACGAGGAGATATCTGGGAGAAATTGGGATGCACTGAGTTCTTGGCATCTTTGGAGCAGGTTTGAGGGGTGTGAATTTGGTTTAGAGCTGAGGGTCCCATATGAACCAGCTCCTTCAAGGCTTACTCTTGTTCTTTTTGCTCCAGGTGATCCCTAAAGTCTGGAAAACTTGGGGAGAAAAAAAGAGAGGGTTAAAAAAAAGAGAGGGTAAAAAAAGAGATGGGTAAAAAAAAAGAGATGGGTAAAAAAAATAAACTGATATTTTATACTTTTTTTTCCTAAAAGTTTGGTGTGATTTGAAGACTTCCTTCTGTCCAGTCTGCTTGAGCTTTTCCTTCTGCCCCTGGCTTGTCAGCCTCCTCCATTTGCAGTTTGGGAACCTTTCCATGTATTTAACAGACTCTTTGGGGTGGCAATGGGGTCAGCTGACCCTAGGTGGGTTTGAGGGAAAAGGAATTCAGGCTGACTATCCATGGAACTGGGATTCAGCTGCTTTTCAGTCGGGACATTGTAATAAAGATGTGTGAATAACCTGGTGACACATTTCTCTTCCTCTCCCATGGATTTTAGGGATTTGGTTTGAGTCCATTCCTGTCCCATGGCATTTTTTTGGGTACTGGAGCTCATGTTGACTCCTGGATGTCCTTTAAAAGCAGGTGTTCATGTATTTTGCTAAATTACATATTGAATTTGACAGAAGAAAACCCTCAGTGCTTTTTATTTTGCTTCACAGTTTAACACAACAACTTAAATCTGATGGTACAGGACAGGGAATGGGAACACCAGGACCTTCCCTGGTCTTTATGCCTCTCCCAGAACCTTCCCAAACCACCTGTAGGGCTCTGAGGTGCCATGGCAGGGGCTGCTCCCCCTTCCCTCAGCCTGGAGAACAGGATGAGCTGCTGGGCTCACGTGCTGTGGGAAGTCCCTCATTTCCTGCCCTGGGCTCCTCCAGGGAGAGAAGCTGCTCTTTGACAAGCTCCTTAATGAGCCACAAAGTTGGGTCATAACCAGTGCTGTGCCTCCCCTTGTCACTGAGAGACTCCAGGGGGTGTGAAAAATCCACCCAGCACAACGAGTGTTCAGAGGAGCCCATGTTAATTTTAGAGAATGAAAAGAGGAATTTCTTTCCCCCCCCCCCGTTGATAATGATTTTTCAATACCCTCAGGAAAGGAAGAGAAAGGGGGCTCTCTGGAAAAGGCTTTTAGAACGTGTCCCTGCAAAGTGCTGCTGGCTCAGGGGGAAGCACTTGGATCCTGGGCTGGAGGAACAGGCTCCTGTGTGGGATGGGCAGAGCTCGGCCTGTTCCTGCTCCGTGTCAGGGCAGTGCAGGGCAGACAAGGGCAGAGCATTCACCCCTTTCTCAACCCTTGGCAGCCCTTGGCTGGGACAAGTGACACAGGACTTGGCTTGGGGTCAAGGTCACCAGTTCCCTGCAGACCCTGCAGTTGGTGAAGCGTCTGCTGGGATTCCTGGTTTGATCCCACTGACTTTAAACTTCTTTCTTTTCCCCCTCTAATCGAATTCTTTTGAAGTACAAGGTGTGCTTTCCTTGCAGCCAGGACTTTGTTGGCAAATCAAAAGCTCCTGGAAGTTTTTTCTGGTTTAGGAGGGAATGGTTGTGACTTTCAGAGGGAGGCCCTGGCACAGGGTGCCCAGAGAAGCTGTGGCTGCCCCAGCCCTGGAAGTGTCCAAGGCCAGCTTGGACGGGGCTTGGAGCAACCTGGGCTAGTGGAAGGTGTCCCTGCCCATGGCAGGGGGTGGAACAAGATGATCTTTCAGGTCCCTTCCAACACAAACCATTCTGTGATGATTCCATGATCGTTCCTGATGGGCCATCCAGGATGTGGAATTGGAGAGTGGTGGAGGGGTTTCTGTGGGTGTAAACTCTGCAGCTGCCAAGTCCATAGGAGAAATCCATAGGATAAACCTTCTCAATCCACTTGGAGTCCATGGAGCTCAGTGGTTTGTGTGCAGCCAAGCCTGGACACGAGTTCTGGGTGCTCGTGATGCTCCACCACAGTGCAGTGAAGATGCTCTTGACTGAGTGGAGTCTGGTCCTGAGATGTCAACCATGGATGAAGTCCATGAGATCCTTCTCAGGCTCTCTCAAGCCTGAAGAAGTGTTTGGAAACAGCAACTCCTGCAGGGGGTGGAGGGAGCTGGTCTTCAAGGTCCCTTCCAACCCAAACCATTCCATGATTCTCCCAGAGCATCTGATTGCAGGATGTGATGGTGAGGGAAGGTCCTTGAGTATGTCTGAAATGCTCTCAGTGACCCTGAGTTTGGTGAAAGTCCTGACAGGGGGGGTCTCAGGCAAAGGGTTTGATATTGGATGTGTGAGTGACATCTGCCAGACTCCCCTGCAGTGCCAGCTGTCTTGCAGACCTGGAGGGTGCTGGACTGGCAATGTCAGAGCTTCAGATCCTCCTTCCCGGAGCACAGAGCTCCTGGCTTTGATGGCCTAAATGGCACTGAAGTCCTCAGTCCTTTCAGCAGCCTTGTTTGGGGGACCCAGACAGGAGCTGAGGGACCTCAACACTTCCCAGACACTGTGTAGGTAACGAAACCTCGACACCAGGGCTGGATTGGGCTCTGCAGTTGCTGGGTGTGGCTGTGGCCTCTGGCAGGAGCTCCAAGCAGAACCTGAGCATCCAGTGTCCAAGGGATCTCCAGCACAGCAGGGAACTGAGGCTGGGAAGGACTTGCTGGACGTGTCACCCTCTGCAAAAAAAAAACCTGGGCATCCTCACACCTATTTTTTCCCCTTGGCTTTGTTTCTCCTGGCACAGGCAGCTCTGGGAAGGGTTGAAGTGCTGCAGGTTGGTTGTGACCCTGCTCTGTCAGGGGGTCACTTTGAAAATCAGCCCCAGCTCATGCTCAGGACCTTTGTGGATGCAGAATGACACAAAGTGTGGTGTGTGACCAAGCTTTTATTATCTTTAACCCCAATCCCCTCCTTAAACCACCCCAGCCAAGTTGTTTCGGGAGCTTTGCCTCCTTTGGCAGTTGAAACGTTCAAAGCTGTGTTTGCACAGCCAGAACAGCAGAAATAACAGCGAGAGCTGCGCACGGATTTTTCTCAAAGGCATTGGAGTCCAAAAAAATCCGTATTCACCCATCTGATGCCTCTGTGCTGAGAGCTTTGGAGCAGAGGGAACAGCCCTGCAGTGCCTGGGAGCTGCAGGCCCTGCCAGGCTGCTGAGGGTGACACTCAGCTGGAGCGGGGTTGTCTCATCGCGTTTCTCGGTTCTTGGCTCACCCTGCCCTGGGCACATTGTCAACCCTCTCTAACACTTCAAGGTCGTGTTTTCTCCATTTCCAGAGCTGTAGAGGTGCTGGGAGCACGTCCTTGCCTGCCCTTGGGTTCCCCTGGGTCAGGTTTGGGTCAAGGTGAAGGGCTGACCTTTGTGGATTTGTGGTTGACCTCCAGCAGTGAGCGGGATCGCCGAGTCCGGGCAAGTCCAGAAGCCAAGAGGGGAAATTTTGCTGGATTACCTTTGGACTTTGTGTGTGTGGGACTGGATGGGTGTGTATCCCGTGCTCCCAGGGTGGAGTGTGCTGGAGAACCTCTCTCCTCTGGCCCAGCAGAGCTCAGCAGTGCTGCAATGAAGGATCAACATGCAGGAAACACCAAAACCGAGGGCTGAAAGGTTCCTGCACTAATACACTGGGCTTTGAATTGATTTGTTTGTTAAAGCAAGTGCAAAATAAGAGGCCCAAAGCCAGAAGGCAGCTCTGTGGTGTAGAGTGCTGAAGATCCAAAGGTCTATCAGCAATGGGTGGGGCTGAGGCTGAGGAAAGCAAATCATAGAATCAAAAAATGCTTTGGGTTGGAAGGTACCTAAAGGATCATCTCTCCAGAAGGTCTGGTTTGGTCAGAGGAGATGCAGGTTCATTTCTCCAGCCCCTTCTGGAGTTAATGAACTGCCTGATGCCACAGTCAGTGCAGCAAAGATCAGACCCAGAAGGTTTTATGGAGACAGCAACTCTTCATGAACCATCCTTAACGGGGTTGGAGCAGGAAGGAAGCTGCCTTGTGATGGGGATCTTCTCCTTTCCTTCCTATGCAGACACTCAAAAAAACTAAAAGTCCATCCTGGTGCTGTGAAAACAAGTCATACCTACATCTTCATCACACAAGTTCTGGGCACGGTCACCTGGCTTCAGGAGCTCTCAGAGCACAACAAGGCAGAAAAAAGTGCCCTGACAATTTCCAGTTATTTTGGAGGGAGATTATAGTACATAGGACAACGGAATTAATGTCATCAGGGTAGGCCTTTTCCTGTATTAAGGTATATGAAAAAAATTAATTAAAGGAGTGAAATCTGGGCTGAAGCTTCTGGTGTTGGTGGCAGAGTAGGAAACACCTGATTGTGGGGAAGTGTTAAGAATGGAAATGGAATAAATGTCCTTTTAGCACTGAAAGCGTGGAGTAAAAGCTCTAATTTGGGCATTTTTCCTCTCCGAAGGCTGGTCCACGTGAGAACACTTCACTGAGGGTAGTCTGGAGTGAAATGTAAGCAGTAGTAACAAACGGCACTGGTTTCCAAGGGCAAAGCTCCTTCCAGGTGACGTCTCTTCTCCTGCCAGGTCGGTGCTGTGCATTCATGTGATGACTTCATCTGTTCAAATCCTGTTAAGGAGTGTCCTAACACTGAAGAGAGATGTTAAAGGCTGCAGTTCCACCCCATACCCCCTTCCCAAGACTGACTTCAAACACTTCCTCCATGGTCACGAGATGATAATTGATTTAAACCCTTCATTCCTTGATCTTTTAACAAAAGCCAAATCATGGGTCCCTAAAACATGAGTACAGGGTTGCAGACCATCACCACCAGAACCATAATGCTCTGGCACAGGAAACTTGTCTTGTTGCTTTCTAAAATACCAGATTTCAGCTGTTTTGATGCATTTGAGATGTTTGGCCTGGTGTGTTTGGGAGCTGTGTCCTTCACCGGGTTTCTGTTGGCTTTTGAGATGGGTGGCCCCAAGTGCAGTGAAGGAATTACATCAATGGTGGAGGGGAAAAGCCCCTCAGAGCTTGTAGCAAATCCTCTGGGTGGGTATAGAGGTAAAGGAGGAATAAAACTTAGAGTTATGGAATGGTTTGGGTTGGAAGGGACCTTAAAGCCAGTCCCACCCTGCCATGGGCAGGGACACCTTT